AGAAAACTGACAGACTTTTATTCACATTCTGGAAGAAGTAATAATGTTTTTCTATAATAAAACAATTGTTTACTGTGAATAGCTATATAACTTGCTATGTGTGTTTCTCCTGCAGCTGACAAGGACCTGTGTAGCCCAAAAGTTTACAAACTTGATTTCTGTTTACAAGGTTAACAAAGTGTCTTTATTGGTTTTAACTTCATTTAAAGTTGATAAGTGTCTTAAATATTTTTATTTGAAGACTTTTTCAGCAGAGCAGATTAAAACAATACTTTATTTAGTTGATAAAGTTCAGCCCTTCCATTCTGATTGGTTCAAATCAACCACCTCTTTCAAATCAGAGGTGTGGTCAGTTGTTTACAAGAGAGGAAGACCTCTCAGATGAATTATAGAAGAAGATGAGATGAATAGAAGTGATGAAGACCTCCAGAGGAAGAGAAGGAGTAAGCTTTTAAGATACAACCTACAAAACTTCCAAGAAGAAAATGAATTTCAACTTTAGCAAAGTTTGATAGAACCCTCTTCAGCTATCCAGACACATGCAGTTATCATCAACAGAGTAAACAACAGCTGTCCAGAACTCCAGGAGACGCTGTGGTTGACCACTAGAGCCAGTGATCAAACTCATCGCCTTTATGTCAGGGATGTGAAGGAATTTCCACCTTTACATAAAAGACCATCTGAGCAGAAAGAGTCTAATATCTGGTATCTTAAGGCAGCCTTCGAAGACGACTCCTGGTAGGAACAGCTGATCTATCTCTGACGGTTGACTCTGGTGTCCAAGAATTTAGATTTTAACCAAATTAGTATTAACTCAGTTCAGTAATTATTTTCCCTTAAATTTCAGACCAAATTTTAACTATTGAACGATAAAACGTCTTTCTTGTAGTTAAATTTGCATGATTAATCTGCCCTGCTGAAATTTCCAATTGTTCTACATTGCATCTTGTTTTGGTTTGGTTAAGCACATAGAATAATTTCATTTATCTGTTAATTCCTGCTAACAAGCAATTTTTACGGTCACGTTAATTTCCATAAAACTCCGGTTGTGAACAGAGCATTCATTAAAATGTCAGAAATAATTTCCAACAGTTGTTTTATCATATATATTCAAATAAACATCACAAGATTGTATTAAAGCGTGTGTGTTTTACTCATGACATCTGAATCCTTCATATAAAAGAACTCACGGTGTAAAAAGGGTAATTCGAGGTAATTAAACAATAACATCTGAATTGATTTTCAGACCTTCAGATTTTCTCTCAGAGCTGAGAGTGGTGCCCCTTCAAAATAAAATTCATAACGAATTTTTAATCATTATTAACCCTTCCCGCTACATTTATGCAGAAATGTAGAAAATTCTAAAAAGTTCATAAACTTTCAAGCACCACTGTATGTACATGTTCACATTCACGCACAAATGTACGTATGCTCACTTACATTAGTATACACCTCACTCCCCCCAGTTTTAGTACTCTTTTACTATTTATTAATTTTATTACTCAGGAAATGTTAACAGCATGGAGAGATAAAAGCCCTGCTGCTACATTAGATTTTTATTGTTTAAACAAGAATAAAAATGTAAAAATAAATGAAAATGCAACAGTCCCTATTTTTTTTTTTCATCTTGATAACATTTAATTTTTTTTTGTCCCCGAGCTAGAAATGTCCCCAGATTTAATATCAGAAATCTGGTCACCTTACTCAAGGATTCAAGGTTCTTTATTGTCATTCACATTACGTGGTACATGAGGTGAAACGAAATTGTGTACAGAGTCCCAGTTACATCCAGGAATAGCAAAAATATAAAGTGTGAACAGAAACAGTAAATAAGGATACCATACCATACCAGCTTTATTTATAGAGCACTTTAAACATCCACAGAACAGAAGTGCCGTACACATAATAAAACAATCATACGGTCAGATAATAAAAACTATTAAAATGATTAAAAGTCACATAATAAAAGTTGTACACATACAGTACACATCATACAACAATCATACAGTCAGATAATAAAAAGCGATGAAAATGATTAAAAGTCAACATCTCAGATGGAATCAAAGCCAGGGAGAAGAGATGGGTTTCAAGAAGGGATTTAAAACAGACAGGGAAGAGGTCTGTCTGATGTTCAAGAGGTCGTTCCGCAGTTTAGGAGCTGCCACAGCAAAAGCACGTCTCCTCTGAGCTTACGCTTTGTCTTCGGCACAATCAGGAGCAGATGATCACATGACCTGAGGGATCGAGAGGGTGTGTAGGGGTGTAGCAACTCAGACAGATAGTGTGGGGCAAGTCCATTAAGAGCTTTAAAAGCAAATAAAATAATTTTTAAATGAATCCTGGTTCTAAGATGCCATCTAAGATAGTCACTAATAATGCAAAGCAATACACTGAACAACAACATGGATAAGATGAGGATGAGAACGCATGTTAAAGAAAAACAATGCTAGAAAGGTCTCACGTTTCCACAGCTGTAAGAAATATTCATTCAAACAAACTTTATTTTATTCCACCTACATGATCTGTTTTAGGTCAAACAGTTGAGAGTACTTCAGTTTTATTGCTTAGTCTTGTGTCATTCTTGAGATGCATCAGAGTTATTTGGTGGCTTTAGTTGAAACTTTGTCAGTTCTACTGAAATATACAACGCTCCTCAGGGGTCACGAGTAGAAATAAAATTTGTGAAAAGAAGAAGTATAGTAAACGGTGTGTACAGATGAACAATTATTTCCCTCAGTTTAAAACAAACACACAAAAAAAAATGTGCACAGATTTACAAGATTCTTTTGAACAGAACTTAGATTTTTGAAACTGTCTTATTTTTTATTCAGTCTTTTTATTGTTTTTCTCTTTCTTTCTTTCTCAGAATAAGCTTATAAAAACAATTCTCGCACGCTGCCCAAGACAGATTCTCGTGACAGAGCTCCAGGCATGTCGAACTTCTATAGATCTGTGTAACTTGTTGTGAAAGTCTGCCCTTGCAAATAAAACCAATTACAAAAATCTTCTCATGTCCTCGAGTGTGGCTTCTGTGAGTAAGTAAGATGAATAGAAGATATTTTTATCCAACATTTTGATCCTTCGAGGTGGCCCCAACATCTAACCTCGAACCTCCAGGCTTGGATCTGAACCGTGCACAGGGGAAGCTTAAACTCCTTAACTGAAAGTCCTCAGGCTGGAACAGGCAAATTTTAATGAGGCCAGATTGCTGTTGGTTCGATGGGTGATGGGTGTTTGACTAGAACGGAGCTGCGCATGGGAGGCAAGGGCGTCAGAAGCATCCGTAATGTGGGGGGGACACACCAATGTGTGTAGATGTGTGTGTGCACGTGTAAAAAATGTACACTAGTGTACAAAAAAGCAGCATTTCACCTAGATTTCCTTTAATTCCACACATTTAAAACATATTTCTCACCAAGTTTGTGTAAATTCAGCTGTGGGTTTTAAAGACATTTTAACTTTAATACACTTTAATACAGAGCGTCAGGTCGGCACTATTGTGTTTATAGAGAAATAAAAAACATCACCACTGGACTTTTTTGCTTGTGTTCAACACTACTCAATTAAAAGATTTTTCTCATGAAGTTTGAGTACAATAAGGTGCGAGGTTTTAAAGACATTTCAACTTTAATGCACCTGAACACACAGCGTCTCTTACACCTGCAGCATCTACAGCGTCACAGTTACTGCTAAGCTAACATGCTACAGACGTAGCTCCTTTCAAGCATCCTCCAAACCTTGTATATATGTTTATGATCAACCCCCTGGACAACAACTGCCCGCACTAAGCTCGCTAAACTGGCGAGCGAGCAACACAGAGATGTCTCCATCTCCTCCACCTGTGCACGTTTTCTGCCGAGGCAGGAGGAGACGCACAGAAACAGTGCAGGCAGCAGTGCTGCTGTGTTTAGAGTTGGAGGTAACCAGGAAAACCTGGAGTGGAGTTTTAGTGGTTTGAGTATTCTCCTATTAATCAAGTGGAATGGATTTGTTCAAGAAAAAAGACAAACTGCACCGACAGAACTAATGTTTCATAGTAAAGGGGGGGGGGGGTTCCAAATGAAGTTTTTTTTATGTGGGGGGACATGTCCCCTTCACATATAATGGTTGCGACGCCTATGATGGGAGGTGAGAAGATTATGTTGGTTATTTTGGGAGGTCTGGGACCTCAGTAATGTTTCTCTGGGGGCCTGGGGTCCCGGTATTGTTTTTGGGAGATGGTAGATCTCAAATGGGAGCCACGGAGGGGCTCTGTTAGACAGATAGTCCGAGACTGTCATTTTTGTGAGATTGTGGATCACCTATTAGGCAAATAGTCAGAGGCTCTCGTTATCAAAAGGGGTTCAGGGAACCTTGGGGTAGTCAGGGACTACATTATAATAGAGAAGCCACAAAGGGATTTCATGTGTTTGTCTGGAACATACAGAGTGAGAAAAAGGAGAGAAAAATAGTGCATGGAGGTTTCACACACGGCTGTTTGTGTGTGACAGTTCAGATCGCTGCCTGAAGAAAAAAAAAAAACGTGTGTGTGTGAGGAAGCCAAAGAGATAATAATAACTCTGTCTAGACATTAAATAAAATAATAATGATGATAACAAGTGGATCCAGAGAATGTATGAGTTGTATGTTTGAGGACTTATTGGATACAAGATGTGTTTTTAATTATTATTTTTTTAACTTGCCTTATGTTAGAACAGCTGAAGGTCGCACAAATGTACTTTAGTCTTTGAAAAGTGATTTTTTGCTTTGCTCCTTGCAGAACGATACGGGACAGTGTGGACAGAGTCCAAAGAAAAACAGAGCGATTAGAAAATGTCATTCATGCTGACTCTGTGAAAGCCTGGAGTGAACTAACCTTGACACTGTGGAATTTTGACTGTTGCTATTGTTGAAATGTACCTGAAGAGCTGGGTTTGAAATAGCTGTTGGGATTATTTGTCACCAGATTTTTTTGTGGACTAATGAAATTGCAGATTGTGTACAGTTTATGCAATTTCTTGTCACTGGGTCATAAACGGCTGTAGCACTTCTGTATTCATGCTCTGCAGCTCCAGTATTTTCATTTGGGTTCTGGAGTTGTCAAGGACCGGCTGACACAGGAATTGGAGCCGCTGCAAAGAGAAAAACAACAAATATTTTTAAATTATTACAACTTAATTGTATTTTAATATGTATTTTTCACAAAATTATAGTGAATCTCTTGGCAGGGGTGTCAAACTCACTTACAAAAAGGTGTCAAAATGAAAACCCTTTTCAAATTAAGGGCCAGTTTCAGAATCTACATTAACTCAAGTTAGATACCCAACATCTTTTCTTGGTTGCAGGTTCCTCAACAAGAGTTTGATTGATCTCATTTGGCATTCTCTGTTGCAATTTTGTGTGGGGGAACACCACCTCAGAAAAAGAACACCTCAGCTCAAACAGAAAAAAAGAGTTCACCTCATCTCAAACAAACATCATTCATGTGTTTTTGTGTTGAAACTGTTTAAAATAAGATGCATCGACTCCCTTGGGAACAAACAGACATTGTTTTTTTTTTCAGGTGTTCAACTCAGCTCACAAACTTCTTAGTTGACACTAATGTGAATATATATTAAAAAAAAAACTGTCACTGTGTTAACCTCTGCCAATATTAACTCATTTCCCATGAAACAAACAGATTATTTTAATGAGAGTTTTGGTTCAACTGACCTCGAAGCTTTGAAACATCCGAACTCGCTACGCTATGATTTCACCTTTATCAAAAAAAGAGTATTACTCCCAGAATGGGTTCCCATGAAGATAACACCATAAGAACCCCTTTGTTTAATGACATTCCCTTTTCAGGAGATGGACAGCGACACCTTTTGATGAACATTGCATGTTATTTCAAAATATGTCATCCTGAATGTTTATTCATGAAAATGTGTGTTTTAAGTCATCTGTCTTTAAGAATATATGTGGTCTTATTGTCTCTTTTAAAAGAGTAACTTTTAAGGCAAAGAGAGAAAAATGGACTTTAGATTTTATTTAACAAAGACAAGAGTTAGGACCATCCCTCTTCCGAGAGGTGGACCTTCATCTCTAAAACACACAGACAGTTTCACTTCATTTTTTTCACAATTTTTTCTTCACACTTCACTGGACTTCGAAAAAACGCCAGAAAGAAACATGCTTCTGCACAAGAGAACTGGAGAGAAGAAATCCAGTTTTTGTACTGAACTCAGAGAGGAGAGAAGCATCCTTTCTGCAGACGTCTCAGGACGAGAGAATGACACAGAACCTGACTGAACCAACTGACTCCCATATGGACCCTCGTCCCTCTAAGATGACAGGTGAACTTGAAGGAGAAATCAGCCTCTCAGTTAACTGGAATATCTGAGGTGGGTACCATTTTAAGCAGCGGTTGGAACCATTCTGACATCTCATCCTAGTAGGAGAGAGACTCTTGATGCCTTTCTGGTAACCCTACATCACACTAATCTTATCAGACAAACTACCGCTCACCTTAGACACAATTTTAACTACTTCACAAACAGAACCAGTCCAAAATCTGCCTTTTAAGTTTCACTGATTTGAATAATCAATTAGACCTTTGATACGAAGCTATTTGTTATTAATTTAATTTTGTCATGCATAATTGTCATCACATATATCACAGATTATTATTTTTTATAATAAAATACATAAAATGAACTGAATTTGTGATTATTTTGGCATATCTGTGTGTATTAACTGATTTGATGCCCTTTAAACACTAGAAAGAACTCACATTTCAGTTTACATTTAATTTGGGGTTAATAGAGACTGATTTTTCCACTCAAAGAGAGGTGGTGCCCACACAACAAGGTCATTTGCATAATAAATGCATACCTTATGAGCTTAACTCATAACTGATCATTTACAATATATATCTAACCCCATATCCCTCTACTTTTGACATCATTAACTTCCGGTAAGATGGCGCCCGTGTGCATGGCTTGCAATCCACCTCTGCTGATGGTGTTCAGATTATTTCTTTTTTGTTCGTTTTTTTATCTGTGGCATAAATTCACTCCTCATGTATGTCCGACAACAGCTTCTGGATCTTCGTTTTTCTGTCACTGATGGCGTTTATTTGGAACAATATGAGCGTACCTCTGGACTGAGCTGTGCGACAACTTCTTACATTTCTTTTTGGAAAAACTTGTGACCACCAGGGCTCTCATTTCCCCTCCAACTCATGACCCATCCATCCCACCTCAATCTGTAGCTCCAGTTGACCATTTTGAACCCATCACTCTATCTTCTCTAGAGCAGGTCATGTGCAGCTTGAAACCTTCTGGTTCCTCCTTTGATGTGGTCCCCCCTCGACTACTAAAGGAGGTTTTTCCCACTCTAGGTCCGTCCATTCTTGCCATAGTAAACAGTAATTTATCCACTGGCGTGGTGCCAAAATCCTTTAAACATGCTGCTGTCCAGCATCTCCTGAGAAAAACAAACCTTGACCCCTCAGTCGTTTCCAACTTCCGGCCTGTCTCCAAACTCCCATTTGTTTCTAAACTACTGGAGAAAATAGTCGAGTCCCAGTTGAAGTGCTTCCTGGAGGGTCACACCATCTTAGAGCTATTCCAATCTGGCTTTAAATCTATCCACAGCACTGAAACTGCCCTGCTGAAGGTCTTTAACGACATCTTCAGATCCACAGATACTGGTGATTCTGTGCTGCTTGTCCTATTGGACCTCACGGCCGCCTTCGACACCATCGACCATGAGATCCTCATTGCTAGGTTGGAGCAGTGGGTGGGCGTCACAGGGTCAGCCCTCAATTGGTTCAGATCCTACCTCAGTGACAGATCCTTTTGTGTCTCCATCAAGGATTTTAGTTCCGCAGCAGCAGGGCTTAAATGGGGGGTTCCGCAGGGGTCCATTCTGGGTCCCCTCCTATTCTCTTTATACCTGCTGCCGCTTGGTGCTATTTTCCGGAAACACAACATGCCCTTCCACTTCTATGCCGATGACTGTCAAATTTACTTCTCCCAAGACACAATGGTACATGCTCGATTCAACCGCTGCTCAACTGCCTGGCTGACATCAGGGACTGGATGGCTTTAAACTTCTTAAGTTTCAATGAAAAGAAGTCTGAAGTCATGTTGTTCCCTCCCAACGACACGATTACAAACCACTGCATCGACCTCTCCGCTCTAACCCTGTCAGAAAAACAAAGAGTCACTAATCTGGGAGTGATAATGGACCCTTCCCTGAAACTTAACAATCATATAAACATGATTGTTAAATCATGTTTCTTCCAACTGAAGTGGCTGTCTAAACTGAAGCCCATATTATTCAAAAATAACCTGGAGACAGTAATACATGCATTCATTACAACTAGGCTTGATTACTGCAATTCACTCCTGTTTGGTATCAGTCAAACCTCCATTGCACGACTACAACTGGTCCAGAATGCAGCAGCCCGATTTTTAACCAGTACAGGCAAAAGAGAGCACATTACACCAGTTTTGGCCTCTCTGCACTGGTTACCGGTTCACTTTCGAATCCAGTTCAAAATACTCATGTATGTCTACAAATCACTGAACAGTTCCACGTAACTGGTAGAGCTGCTGCCTCTCAGCGAGCAGGTCCTTGGTGCAAATCTCGGTCCTTTTTGGGTTGAGTTTGCATGTTCTCTCCGTGCATGCGTGGGTTTTCTCCGTGTACTTCAGTTTCCTCCCACAGACCAAAAACATGCATGTTAGGCTGATTGGTAACTCTAAATTATCCCTAGGTGTGAGTGAGAGAGTGAATGGTTGTTTGTCTCTATGTGGCCCCGTGAAAGACTTGCAACCTTTCCAGGGTGTCCCCCGCCCCTCGTACAGTGATTGCTGGACATGGGCAACGGCAACCCCCTTGACCCAAAATGGAAGAAGCAGGTAAAAGATAATGGATGGATGGATGGATGGATGGATGGATACAGAGTAATTTATTAAATCTGTATTCACAACAAGCAAATATAAAACCACCCCACCTGACTGAGGGTCCCAGTTCCAGTGCACAGTTTGTAAAACGCCCATCCAGGAACAAGCAGGATGGAGGAGAGAGCCAGAACCCATCCCAGCACATATGCCCAGGATGGGTACACATACCAACGATTGAAGGTCAGAGGCTGGTATTCAACTAAAGAACATATGAAAGATCCCTGAAACAAACAAAGGAAATGGATTAAATGGTTGGATTCTGACTAAAACTCAAGTACAGATACAACATCCCACACTTTCTATCTGAATTCTGGAGCAGTGACATTATCTTGTCACAGTAACAGACAGATGTCTCACCAGTGCGACCAGCGGAGTGAGATAGAGCCAGCAGATCTTGAAGAGCGGGTTAGGACGAACACCAGTCATATCTTCTATGATGTTGTACAACCTCTCTGCCCCTAAATTGAGAGAAGGTTGGATTATGTAATGATTAGATTATATCAACTCTGGACAAGTTAACCTGGTCAGCTATATATAACCCTGTTGAAATGAACAAAAATGTCCCCATTATTCATTATGCTTTTTAAGGTGACATCATCAAGTTGGCAGGAAGTTAGTCTTTTATTTATTAAGATATGTGGCAAATATTAAAGAAACATCTTAATGAACATTGTTATACCTACCAAATACCCATCCCAATGCCAGAGTTTCAAACACACCGAGGAAGAGCATGCATGTTCCATTGCATGCGTAGTAGTCAAATAACTGAAACACGTACATTCCACCCTTCAGGAGACAAAAGAAAAATTTATTGTTTACTCTTTTTAAGTTCACGGACGTAAATCTGAACCACTGTTTGTTTATTGGTTTGTATTGTAATGAACCAAAGACAGAGACAATTGGCAATACTTTTCAATATTTGTGCATAAATGAAGAAACTAATGGATGAGCAAAAACTGACTTCGGTGATCATGGGGAGCTGAGAAAAGAAGCAAATTAGGCAGAAGATGAGGAGGAATGTCTCCCGCCATCCTGCCCTGCGCATAACTCTTGGGAACATGTCTGTGATGGATGTCATCACCACCTCCATGGCCACAAACTGCACACAAAACAGAAGTACATTTCCAAATCTGAATGCACTCATCAGACAAAGAGTCAATCTAGTTTTGTTTTACTTGTGTGTCCAGGCTGAGGAGAATAAGCATGACAAAGAAGAAGACGGACCACAGTTGGGAAAAAGGCATCATGGCCACAGCCTGAGGGTATGCAATGAACGCCAAACCTGGACCTGGAAAACATCAGCTTTTATTGAACCAATCAAACTAACCAACTATCTTGATCTGCACTAGCCATCAGCTACCTTAGATGTATAATAAAAAAAAAAAAAAGACTGTACCGTCTGAAAGTCTGACAGAAAATGAGTATGCAGCATTGTGAAGCATCACTTCTCTCACACATCCTAGCTACAGTCTAAGAAGCATAGTGTAACCTCGAGCAGTCATTTCTAACCCGGGCCCGAAGCCTAGCCCTTCCCAAATTTGGGACGGGCTGGTCCATGATAATGTACTGGATTGACGGGCTGGGCTTTTCATTATGTCAGTGGATCAGCCGTGATCCAATTATATGGCAACATGGCTTGCCATACTTTCACCAGCCACATGCGGCCATTTCACTGCAAGGTGACCGGCCTTGAAAGAGGTAAAATAAAGTTCAGTTAAGCTTCAGACAGGACTACCGGTAGGCTGCCAGGACACGATCCATCGCACAAATGGACGTTCAGCCACTTCACTCGGCGGACGCGAACGGCCGACAACCCAAACTGGTGAGATCCCCAAGCAGACGTGTCAGAGCAGGATTTAATGCATTTTGACGGCCACAAAAGGACAAAAACCCACTCAGCTCAGATCTTCTACCCTTTTTATTCAGCCGTGCATGTCCTCCCACCATTAGTAATTATATGAGCAGTCAAAGCTTAATTTAAAATGTCTTTTTTTCCTTAATAAATAAATAAATAAATAAATAATTCTAAGCTACTAATAACTTTAAATAGTTGGTGCAGTGGATGTTTTCATGCTGCAGAGAGACAGGGCAAGAACTCAAAGTGAGAGTCAGTATACAATGATGTAAATTTTACATTACACAACCTAATAAACACTTAGTGCAAAATCAGTGTAGTGTTACCTGATCCTAGCAAACAAAGACTGAACCTATACAACCAGACATTGCAACATATATCTACATATAAAACATACAAAACAAAGCACATCTAGCTTTAAGCATTAACCTTTAATTTAACCATTAAGCATGCGATGTAATTATGACAAAAATAGACGATTTACTTGCAGTTACTTTTGTACAGACGAACATGTGGAACTTCCTGTTTATAAATGTTGTAATAAGTTGATCATGAGGTCGACTGCTAGCCTTTATAATCTATTGCATTTTTCCAAACTTCGTTCATGTCATATTTACAGTATTGTCCACCCCAAATTAGCAGACTGAGAAGAATGACAGAGCCAGACACACAAAAGTAAGTGATCTTTATTTACAAATGCAGCAACAGCTTCGGTGCTAGAAGGGAAACGAGGACAAGGTGAGTATCTTGATTTACTCAGAGATATTGCAGCAATGGTTTTCAAACAGTAAATGATTTCTTACTGTTATATTTGTAGGAGAAGCTGAGGAGAAGAAGGTGACAAGGTCCAGGGGTTTCCACGGGAGGAGTTGAAGATTCAAGAAGAGGTGAGTAATGGTGGAGAGAGGATCAGATTGATTCAGACTGAAACATTTGTGGTTTGATAGTTGAAGGGACAATGTTGATCCACAGGAGAGCCACGAAAGAGCAAGGAGGTCTTAGGGAAGACTCGAATGAATAGGACATGGAAGTCCCCGGAGAACATCACAAAAGATTAGAACTACAATAGCTGTTGAGAAACAGGGTAGTTGGCTGTTCATGAAATACCGAATGGCATCAAATGTCCCAGCACTGGAAGAACGTCTGGCAGGAGCTTTTATACACCAGCCAAGCAGTCCTTCTCAATCAGCAGCAGGTGGTATGAGTTGGTTGATGGGCACAGCTGTAGAAAGAAGCGTGCTCCTGGCCTGGTAAATTCTCCTTGTGATTTATAAAACTAACATTTGTCTTTGTGCCTTTGTTCTGGCTCCTGTGGTCCACCTGTGCTCTAGATCTCCTACTTGAACCTCCTTGCAATCCCCTCCAGCTGCTCCTTGTCTTCCCACCATTTCTCTTCTTGTGTAAACCCTCCTGGAACCATTTGGAGCTTTCACCTCTATGACCAACAGCTAACTCCTACAGTAATATCAACAACTGAACATTATCTTCTGCCTGAGATTAATTATATCTCAATTAACTCTGCTCCTTGCTCTCCAAGGTTCTAGTCCGTCCCTGTTGATTCACATGTTGCTGCATTCACTCTCTATTTGTAAATAAACACTGTTAACTTTTCATGGTCTTGAAGTTTTTTTCTGTTTTGGTCAGTTACTATCTGGGTGTTGGTAAAAAACAAAACAAAAAAAACAAAACAACGACGGCCATGATTCATGCCTTCTGGCCATACGTGAAGGTTGTAATAGAGAAGAGGCAGCATCTTGAGTTTCACCTTTCAGCTTAGTGCCTTCTTTACCACAGCAGACTAGACAAACAAGGCCCTGTTTTTGATCTATCTCTTTCCTAATTATGCCATTATTTACAAATAGGACACCAAGATACTGAACTCTTCCTCTTGAAGCAAAAACTCAACCTCAACGTGGAAGGAAACAGATGTTTAAAACAAATTTGGAACCATGTATCCATAAGTCCAGAAAAATGTAGTTCCGTGTTTTTTAATATCTCTGAATAATACCTGACTCTGCTACTTCTGCAATGGGAACACTTTGCTCATGAGCCATGAATCCCAGCACAGAGAAGACGGCAAACCCAGCTACAATACTGGTACCACTGTTCAGCAAAAATAGCCACAAGCAGTCTCTGAAAAACATAATAACACAGCATGAACATTTCAATTCTTAGAATGTGTTGAATATGACATGATTCTGCTTTAAATGGCTGTTGAACCCATGTGCAGACAGACAATGGGGGAATTTCAGGTAAAAATAAGTAAGTTAAGATAATTTAAACTAAACAAAATGCCTATGGGGCCAAGAAACTTACTTTAGGAACTAGAAGACAAGAGGAACAAAACCTGACAGCCTTGACAAGATAATACACTGACAAAGGAGGAACACAGAGATGCCAACTTCATACAGCCACAGATGAGACAGAATGAGAAACACCTGGAGTGATTAGAATTGGAGACAGGTGAGACACGAGCTGAACACAAGGAAGAAGACACAGGGAAGTGCATGAAAACTTTTAAAGAAAATACAGAACAAAACCCAGAAATCCCCACAGAAATGGCATCTGAAATCCCAAGGAAAAACTATGTACAACTTGAGTGGGAGGAGGGAGGAAACAGGACAGAGGGCACAAAGGGAAACACAAGCGAACAAAAAGAAGAATAACCGGCAGGTAAGAACCTGGATACCACAAACACAAAAGGAAAAAGAACTCCAACCCACAGAGTTAATGTGGACGGCCAGAAGCCCATCCAGAGCCGGACAGGAGTTAAGGTGGATGGCCCAGAGTACATCACAAATGAGGCAGGAGTTCAGGTGGGCAACCCAGAAACCATCCCGAATGAGAAAAGAGTTCAGGCAGACAGCCTAGAGATCATCCGGAATGAGGCAAGGGTTCCAGTGGGGGCCAGGAGACCATCAATTCTTGGGCAGGAGTGGCATCCACCTGGAACCTCTCGGACTCAGGCTCTTGATAGGTGAAGAGAGCACTGGGGAGGTTGTGGCCACAGGCGGAGAGGCCACTGGTGAGGCTGTGGACGCAGGTGTAGAGGCCACTGGGGAGGCCACAGCCTCAGGTGGAGAGGCCACTGGGAAGGCTGCAGCAGCAGGCGGGGACACCACTGGGACGACTGTGGCAGCATGAGGAAAGGCCACTGGAGAGGCTGCGGCTACAGCTGAAGAGACCACTGAAGTGGCTGTGACTGCAAGTGAACCCACAATGTGAGCCGCAGCAGGTAAACTCGCAATGAGAGCTGTAGGTAGTGGCAATTTCGTAGAGGGTGCTGCAGCTGGTGAGTCAGACAAGGGAACTGCAGTTTTAGATGGGACCAGAAGAGCTACAAATGGCAATGGGACCAGCAGATCTGTGGCTGACGATGGGACCAGCAGATCTGCGGCCGGTGAGGGAACCAGCAGATCTGTAGATGGCGATGGGACCAACAGCTCTGTGGCTGACAATGGGACCAACAAATCTGTTGCTGGCGATGGGACCAGCAGATCTGCAGCTGACAATGGGACCAGCAGATCTACGCCTGGAGATGAGACCAGAAGATCAGCAGCTGGAGATGAGACCAGCAGATCAGCGGCTAGAGAAGAGACTGATGAATCTGACACAAGCGTGGGATCCAACAGCGGCTTGGGACCCACAAGAGGCTTGTGACCCACAGGAGGCATTGTAGCAGGAGATCAGACTGCAGTAGGCAGTTAGGCTGGCAGGACTGCAGCAGGAGGTGCAAATCAGATGTCATCCTTTCTGAAACCCACAGAGAGGCACAAAGGAAGATACTCGTTGTCCCAACACCCACAGTGAGGTATTGAGGCCACCCACTGGGCCACAGGAAAGTGGGTCATTGTCCCCGATGCCCACACAGACACAGGAAGGCGAAACATCATGGTTGAACCCTGTGGAGACACAGAAAGGCAAGTTGGGCTGCTTCATCGACTGAGCAAGGACTCAGCTGCTTCATCATCCACCAAGGGCTCAGTTTCTCCCCTGGCATGTGAGGGCTTACTTGCTCCCCCAGCTGCAAAAATGTCCACTGCTCCCCCAGTTGCATCTGGGAAGACTTGGGTGGAGGGAGGGGTTGGAGGGAGGGGCTGGAGTTCTGCAGATCTAGTCCGGTTCTGACATCGATCCCTATTGCGGTGGAGATGAGGAGGATCAGTGGGTTGCCCTTCTCCCACTGATGAACACTCAAGAAACTTAGGAAGTGAGTGGGGTGGTGGAGGGTAACAAGGTGGTTGAGAGGAGTAAGGAGGTGGAGCAGAACAAACATGCTTGAAATTCAGGCGAGTTCCCCAGAATTAAGTTCTCCTCCTCTCTTTCTCTTCCACCAAGAAAGGAGATGGGAGAATCTCAATTTCTGGGCTGTGGCGTCTTCATTTCCAGGATGGTCTGGATTCTTCAATCCTGTAACTGCCCCACCAAATGACAGACTTAGTCTCCTCTCTCTTCCTTTTCTCCTTCTCCCACTGGGCAGTTTTATCTGCTTCGTGGGCCAGAAACTCAAAAAGGGTTATCATCCTGCTGGGTTCAATATGGTCTATGCATTGTGAAATGATTCTGCTTTAAATGGTTGTTGAACCCATGTGCAGGCAGACAACAGGAGACTTTCAGGTAAAAATTAGTAACTTAAGTTTATTTAATAAACCAAACAAAATGCTGGCGGGGCAGAAAAACTTACTTTAGGATGTAGACGATGGGAGGAACAGAACATGACGGCCTTGACAGGATAATGCAGGAACAAAGAAGGAACACAGAGATGATGACTATACAGACACTCATGAGACAGAATGACAAACACCTGTGGTGATTATAACTGGAGACAGGTGAGACAGGAGCTGAACATTAGGAAGAGGACATAGGGGATTCATGAAAACAATTAAAGAAAAGACAGAACAAAACCCAGAAATCCCCACAGAATATATTTTTAATGCCCTTCTTAATTTTTGCTTTGGAAAATCTGTATGGCAAAGTATTGGAATTTAATTAATGCCTTAAACAAAAATTTAGACTAAAATGCTGACAGTTACCTGTAGCAGTTGTTTTTGTATGTGTTGTAGCTGCCTAGCACAATATGGGTGCCTGCACCGACATCGTATGAGAAGAAAATCTGGGCACCAGCTTCCATCCACACCTGTCCCAACAACAGCAGTGGTAAGCACATTCGACCTGCACTCTGCTGTTACATCAATAAAACCTTACCTGAGGGTCTGTAAGTCGTGATGGATCAGGCAGAAGATAAAACATTACTCCTTCAAAGGCACCAGGTAGACAGAGTCCTCGAATTAAAAGTATTATTAGCATCACATAGGGACAGGTGGCGGTAAAATACACCACCTAGAGAAAGTAAAAACATTGTAACCACCCAAAATATACATTCTGTAAGTGACAGTTTTGTGTTGTCTATGTTATACCTTTCCTGTGGACTTGACTCCTTTCCAGATGCAAAAGTAACAGATCACCCACATCACAATAAGGCACAACAGCAACTCCCACCTGATATTGCCCAACTCTTCAATACCCCCTGAGATAGACAGCACCCGTCGTCTACACATGAAAAATACAAATATTTTAAGAATTGGTCTTGTTTTATATTTATTAATCATTGAGTACTGACATACTCCCAGAATTCGGTGGCTGCAGAAGTCAAATTTGTCTTGTTGGTCCAATGGATGGTTTCATTTCCTGATGAAAAGTCTACACACTCATCTGAAACAATGGTGGTGAGTTAGGAGTTACAGTGACTTGGACAGCTGTAAACTGTATAAGCATAGTGTTTTTACACAATGATGCTGTTGATGTATTTTACCTGTGTTCCAGTAGTTGTTGCAGCTGGCCCATGGGAGCTGGTTGCTAAAGGAGAACACCAGGTAGAATAAAGCCCAGGACAGAATAACGATGTA